TAAAAAATAAAATAGAATATTAAAATCAAGATGTATCTCGTTGCATTGCACGAGTACCCTTCTAGTCTTATTAAACAAATTTAGCAAAAGTCTTAAAAGTCTTAAAGTCTTAAAATACTAAATGACCAAGATACTTGTAAAACCCAATTATATATATATATATATATATATATATATATAAATATAATATTATATGAGTCTTTAAATATATTTTTAAATTTATTTGAAGTGTTAAAATATTTACGTAATAAACTAAAGAAAATAATTGTAGAAATCTTAAATAAATAAATAAATAAATAATGAAAAGAAAGACAAAAAGAAAAATAAAATAAAATTGWTTTCTTTTAATTATTGGACCAAAAATGTAAAATATTACGTCAGAAGTGGTTTGATGGTAAATGTCAGAAACTTGAGGGGGCCGAATGTCATCTTTTTCAAAGATGAGGGACCTGTTTTGCCAAAAGTACATAACTATTTAGAGAAAACGACTCCTCAACCAAAAACTCGCGATTTCTTCCAATTTCGTCAACTAATAAGCCAAAACTTTTGTATATAAATATAGAGCACTGGCTTAGGATCATTTTGATTCAAATAGATAGAAAAATCGTTGAGTTTTGAGAGAGAAATCCGAGTTTGAAGTTCGGAATCAAAAATCTCGGTTTTTCACCGATTTTGGGTTGCCGTTGTTTAGAGAACGACATATTGAACGTTAATGATTCAAGGTGAGTACATTATACGATTTTTATAGGATATATAAATGATTATTACAAAAGTATTTTATCCATGATATTTGCATGATGTGTTTATATGCATATGATGATAACTTGATTATATTGATGTGCATGATATTTAAGTATATGCATGATATGAAAGGTGATGTTGAWGAGAAATATTATGATGACTTGGTATTATCAATTTGATATTCAAGTATGTGTATAATGTGGAAAATGACGATGATGCATATGTGATTTATGTTGTCATTTGCATGAAATGTATATTGCATGTCACAATGAGATTTGCATTAATGAGTGGGTATTGCAAATAAATGATACGCAACTAGTATGATTCGGCAAGATTCGGCCACCGTACGAGGTGGGTTGGACATGAAAGGAGGGCTTGCAATTCCGAGGTTTTGGAGCCCTTGTCCATAGAATACGCCACATACACAAAGAAAAGTGACGAGCCGATACCTCACTTGTAAGATAATAATTAAAATACACTAAAACATTGTTTATATGTGCATGTGATCATGAAACCATATTGTATTCACTAAGCTTTTAGCTTATACTATACATGTATATGTCTCATGTGTCATTTATCAGTAGACGAGTTGAATGAAAAAAGATGGGACTATGTTTTAAATCATGTTTGATTAGATATTTTAATTAGCATTGATTACATTAAGGTATTTTACGCTTCCGCAATTATGTAATGAATTATGTTAAACACATTATGTGTGTTTGAAATTTTAAGTTCGTATTTTGTTCATGACATAAGTTATTAAGAATGACGTCACGACACTCGAATGAAAGAAAAAAAAATCGGGGCATGACAAGTTCGTTTAAATATGTTGGATTTTAAATATATTGGATTTTAAACTGTCAAACAATTTCTTTCATCGATAGTCTGTAATTGGAACAATAACTCTTATTTATTCAAATTGTATTAATATGTAAAGACCAAGTGTAACCTATATCATCGTTAAATCTTATCTTATAAAACCAGTGGAACTTCAAAATCGTTAAAATTCATGGCTCCCGCTGTATTGCGCGGGTACACAACTAGTTTCTAAAAAAATATAGCTTAAAACTTGTTACGTATATAATTTAGAAATATATAATTATTAATAAAAAATTTGAAATAACATAATGAAATTATTAATTAACACAAAAATAAAGGTACATCAATATTTTTTTTATTAACTTGTGTATCCAACTTGCTATGTCAGCTGATTAATTGTAGGACGACCACATGTTTTTGGGGTACCCTTTGAGTCTTTGTATTTGAACCTTCGTAGCCACAAAGAGATTTTATTTCTCCTTGAATTTGAGCCTCTTTGAATCTAACACAAAGGGGTAGACCTGCAGGTATTTTTAATCTTTGGAATCCGAACTTAAGCCAATTAAACATCAATCTTATGATTAAGTTAGATCAATGATTTATGACACGTATAAACATAAATCATGTGAAACACCAATTTGATACGTTACACCACACTTACCAATTCATTATGTGGCATTTGTTCCATTATTCGCCATCTTTTACTATAATTATTTCCATAATAATATTTTGTACAAAATGAGCAATATAAATTCATCTATGTCTTTTAGATCTTCATGTTTTTTTTATTAACCTGGATATCCAACCCGTTATGCGAGCCGACTAATTCCAGGGCGAACACATGTTTTGCCGATAGACCGGAGTCCATGCATTTAAACCTCCGTGGCCATAAGAGAATTTTTATTTCTTCTTGAATTTGAATCCGGGACCTCCTGGTATATTTGACCTTTAGAGCCAAGATCAAACCAATTAGACACCACCCTTGTGGTTATGTTCATGTTTTTCTTTCCGATTCGATATACATTTTTTTTGAAATTTGAACAGTAATTGTCTCTTCCTTCTTCCCTATAAACTTGTTTTTTGTATTATACATACATACATATATATATATATATATATATATATGTATATATAATACCTTGAGGTCAATAGCAAAAACGAATCTTGTAATAAGCTTAAGTAAAGTTGAAGTGATGACGTCTAAAAAAGAAAAAGAAAAGGTTTGTGTTGATTGGCTACAAATGGTTGCATGGATAATAAGAGATGCTTATATTGACATTACCCAAAAGTTAAATATTGAGAAGACTCATGCAACATATCTTTGCAATGGACCACAATCTCACATGCACCATTAATTAATGCAAACTCCATTTGTCCCTTATAATCATTAATATTTGAAACACATACGCCATCTTCATCAAGGGTTTGGTGGCCCAATAATCACAAGATATATATACGATATTCACACAAAAAGTTTGTTCGATGTACAAAACCAAGTTTTTGGATACTTGGTACGGTATTACCAACTGATTAACTTTGTACCATCTTGATTTGTACAGTTGATACACACGTTGGTTGGTTTAGTTTTGTATTAAATTGTCACCTTAGTGTATATTTAAGTCTTCTCGATATCAAAACTAATAAAATAAACAAAGAGTAACCGTTAAAGGTGTATTTATATGCACTTCCACCTCTAAATGTCTCGGTCTTCAAAACTTCCTACACAATCATCACTGGTTTGTTAAATATGCATCTTAACACATGTTCAATTGACTGATCGAGAATCCATTAACTAAAACGATAATATCCATCCTTTAACATCGTTGTAGGTGATATCGTCCTATCAATTTTGAAAATTCGTGAACCCATTTGGGTATAAATAGAATAATATTTCTAAAGTGGGGGGTAAAACTGCACTTCATTGATATATGTTTGGACCAAAGTTATCTGAATTTCTCAAACGAAGGTTGATGGCAAAATCTTCAGAAACTCTAATGGACCCAATTACATATGGTGATAAATGAATCCCCATTAGGATTCGCCGGACCACCTAGCCAAGTTGGCCTGAGGCACAATCAACTTCGGCCCAAGTCCAGGTCCTACCAAGTCAAAAACGAGTTCAACCAAACCCAATTTCGACCAGATGGTCAACCTATTGGTATTCCGACTCAACTTCAATTGATCAGCTGCCAGTTTCCCTCATTATTTTGCTTTAACCGACGCCTAACTCATCCTTATGTATCATGCAAAATTGAAATTACCTTCAAATTGTTGTTAGAATGAAACGAAAGTCCAAGGTCAAATGCCTTTTTTTTCGGCTGCAATTTTCTCGTGATTCACAAAATTTCTTGAGGGGTTATGTTCTAAAATGGTAAAGCTTAAAAGAGCGAAAAGCCTTAGTTTGATTGTGAAGTTTTTGAAACTAAAAGGAAAAGCATCGCCAATAGATTTTTTCAAGATGAAGATTTTGAGAATCTTTACTCCAATAGATTCTCAAAACCTTCTCCAAATTCAAAGAAAAATGAAATTTAATGTATAGGAGAAAGAAGTATATTTCATAAAATGTATTAAATATTTTAATAATATAATTCATATTATAATCTCCAAACTTAACAAACTGTTGAAGATAAACATCAATAAAATTTGTATCGATTAAACAAATTATTAGAATTCTCAACGTGATACTACAATCTCAGAGGATATACTAGAAAATTTCGACTTTTTTTATTCTCTCATATCATGTATTTCTTAAGTTCTTACCCACACAAAATGCGTAACGATTTTCCATTATCGCAATTGAATAAATGAAGTAAATATTTTAAAAAACAGATTTTTTATTCTAATAATATAATTAATTTTGTAATTTATAAAATGAAAAGCTATTAAAATTGAGTATAAGTGTTTTAAAGATTTAGAAAGTCGAAGGTAGAATTAATAAATAATAATATGGAAGTGAGTACAAATTACAATATATATATATATATATATATATATATATTCCAAACCCCTGACAATATAAACTCCAGAAGGACTTAATGAAGTCAAAGTTTCACCACCAATGGCCATCTTTGCTTTGGACTGTGTGAGGTCAATGGTGTTGGAGATCACGTGACTTATCCCCTTCAACGGCCATATTTTTCAATTTCCATTACGTGTGGGTAGGGTTATTATGGTAATTCCACATGTCTCTCTGCCTAAGCATGCATATTCCAGCAACCAATGCCAACACCACCTCTCATATAATAACAAATTTAAATCCCCACATTAACCATCTTTAGTTTACTAACAACAATATCTTTAACAAGACCCATTTTTGTTTTTATTTATATTTTATATGTAAATATTATATAATAAAGCGATTAGTTCTGAAAGATGGAACACAATAACTTGAACTTGATAACAAAAGATTTCACCACCAATACATAATTAAAAAAGCTTCATTCACACAATACTTGCAGAAAGATTAGAACTTCTACCCCTCACATGACTGAACAACTGCTTGTGTTTTCATCACTGAACATATGGGCAGCAGAGTTATGATCACCACCACCGTTAGCACTGCTGGTGGTGTAGTAGCCGTTGTGAGGATGCTCATTGTAAGTGTAAGGGGCAGGATTGTAATTGTAGTAGTACCCAGTGGCTGGTGGTATAACAGCAGACCTGTGGTACATCATCTGAGGTTGCTGTTGCTGTTGCTGTTGCTGCATGGCTTGCCTGTTCTGCAAGTTCATCATCATCATTGATGCAGCTGCAGCAGAATTGTTGTACTGTTGCTGCTGCTGCTGCTGCTGCTGATGATGATGGTTTTGGTTCATGTTCATCATCATGGCTGCAGCTTGTGACGATGGATTGTAACCACCGGCTGCCATCGGTAATCCACCGTTAGGAAGGTGGAACCCTGCGGCACCAACCGTGTTCTTTTGAGGAATTTGGAACCCTCCACCACCACCACCGTTCGCCAAACCACCATCACCGCCTCCACCACCGCCCTGGAATCCAGCTAGATTGTTCATAATGGAGCTCATATCATTCACCCTTTTACCCTCCACAAGATTATTCACAGCAACCCCATTACCACCAGGATGATTGTTGTTATCATTCACCATCTTCACTCCACCATTCTGATTCAAATTTCCTTTCTTCCCATTATTATTTCCATTCCCTCCGTTTGGCTTTCCGTTAGTATTCCCATTTCTAGCATTGTTAGCAGCCATAGCAGCAGCATGTTGTTGTTGCAACTGCTGTTGTTGCTGTCTTAACATAGCAAATTGACTGGCTTTTTGGTTCAGTAATCTCATCTCCTCTTCATTTTCTTCTGCTTCTTCATCATCAGGATAATCATCGCCTTCTTCCAAGCTCAAAGGTTGAAACTTTTGCTGGAGTTTCAAGGAATCCAGACCTTTGATGAATTCTGGTTTCTGGGTTTTGTTTTTCTTGTCATCTTTGCAGGATCCCTTCTGATTTTGGCTTTGGCTTTGGCTTTGGTTTTGGTTGTGATTTTGGTTTGACTTGTTTGACCAAAGCTCAGCATGTTTACCAGCTCTAACCAGTTTCTTGATCAAAGTTGCAGAGTCTACATTTCCTGAAACAGTAACTTTTTGCTGCTCTGCATCTATATTCACTTGGTATACACCTACAAATTTTACAAATAACAAGAAGAATTTGGAAGAAAAAAAAATAGAGAGAGATCAATAAAGGTGTTAGAAAATGACATTTTATTGGTCAACATATACACTTAATTATCTTAATATAGATGAAATCTTCAATGATGACGGTGAATAACTGACGACTCAAGATCATGAGAAAATAAGTGGAAATAGAAACTATTCCGAATTATTAATGGATAAAAGCTTGGAAAATATTTTTTTTCGGGGGAAAATATAGAAAAGAACTGAATGTGCACTCTTAACATTTCAGTTCCAAAACAATGAAATGATATCATCATTTACAAAAAAACGTTTTTGCATAAAATTTTGAATTTTCGAAAACCCGTATAACAAAATACGATTACATTCTTGATTCTCCATTCCCAAAAAAAGGTGAACATTTTCCAGATTTTCCTTTCTAAAACAACAAAAATTCAAGCCAATTTAGAAGCTAAAAGGTTGGACTTTTGGAAGTCAAATACAGACTTTTTGGAAGGAACATCATATATATATATATATATAGAGAGAGAGAGAGAGAGAGAGAGAGAGTATACCATCAATTTTGTGAAGGAGCTTCTTGACTTTGTGTTTGCAACCATCACAGTGTAAATTGACTCTGAGAAAACAAGTCTGAAGTGGAGAAAAGAAAGAGAAAGAAGAACAGAGGGCAGTAAATTAAAACAAGAACCATAAATGACAAGAAAACAAAAGGTGAACAGAGAGATGTATGCTGAAGAAGAAGAAGAAGAGAAGAGAAGGCATGAACAGCAGTAATGTAGCAAGAAAAAGACAGTAATTAAACAAGTAAGCATGGGATTGCAAAAAAGGGCATTTAGTTGTTGATGAGAGACAGAAGAAAGGTGATGTTTTTGTAAAGAAGGGTGAAAAGAAAAAAGGGAAGGTTCACCTGGATCTTGAGGAGCTTAAAGTCTTCTTCATCTTTAGTCATTTCTTGGGTGGTGTTTGGATCTGCCAAAAAAGGGAAACAAATGATACAAGTGATGGTGGTTGTTGAGAAGGAAGAAGATAATTTCTTTTCTTTTCTGGCTTTTCCCCTTCCTTTCTTCACTTGTGGGTTAAAAGGTGAAAACCCCTTCCTATCTGCTTCTATTTAATAACTAAAACCTCCAAATTTCTTCACTTGTCTTGTGGCCTAACAATATTCTATCTTTTTTTAATTTAAGTTTATATATATTACTATATCTTTTTGTACTTAATATTACATCTCGCTATATTGCTGCGATACGTAATATTAACTTAGGTGCTTAAACAATAACAAATAACTAAAAAGATGGTGTCATTTATGTTAAAGGATCATCTTATACAACAAAAAGTTGTGCTTTAAATATTATATTATATATAAGTATTGTGATTTGATTGAATTTCGCATTCCAAATTCAATCAAATAGCGGTTCTTCTGTTATGGATTGGTTATGTAGTCATTTCTCGACTGATTTTAGCCGAATGTCACTATTTTCTCAAATGGCATCTCTATGATTTGTGGAGGTAAGTAAAAGACGTAAAGAGAGTATAATTTCTATCCAGGTCTGTAAGTGTCACTTCTACAATTTCTTCATAGGTCAGAAGTTAAGGAGATGTCACTTGCGGACCTGAAAAAAACTTGTATTTTTTTTAGTTACCTCCGCAAATTAGAGAGGTGTTACTTAACATTTAAGTAAAACATGAAGAATAATACTAAAAAACCAATTACAATAAGAGAAATGACCATTTTAAGTCGATTTCTCGGTTCGAGTAATAAATCATTCAACTTTGAACTACATTATGTATTTTTTATCTTATGAAAAAAGCCACATAAAGAAGTCAATATAGAGTACGGCCTCTTTTTTAAAGCATGGCAAGGTGTATGACAGATGTAAAATTCACTACAAGAAAATTTGGTTTTCTGGTAGGCAGCGTCATAATAAATTATTATACATAATTTAAGTTTATGGAACCAAATAAAAAAGCGTAATACTTAAAGATATTACAAAAGGTCTATAGGACGCTTTAAAAAGTTTACCTACAACACTTTTAATATAGTATTAGTTATTTTTAGGACAAAGTTTGAGAATTTTCCTATCAAACCGTCCTTTTATATGATGTGCTTATACAGACACTTTATTTTAAAAACGTTCCTAAAAAGTTGTTAAAACACCCTAAAAGTGTCACATAAACTTATTATAACATTTTTAGATATGACAATTTTTTGTTTGGTCCTATAAACTAAAGTCATATAAAACATTTTATTATAACATTTAGACATTTTATACGTTCTATAAACCTAATATTGTTGTTGTGGTGATTACTTAGAAAGACATTTTGAAAATTTAATGGAAAAAATGTTGGGAAGTATGGGGCGTCAACGTAAAAGTATTGGGATAAATATTAGATTTAGTATTGGAATGTCAACTACGTGATTGCGTTTTCTATTTCGGATCTTCTCTTGATAGATGAAGGCAATCATGGTGATGTTTCTCTCTAAAAGGTTTATGGAAATCACTCCTTTGGATCGAAGCTTACATTTTGTTGAGAAATAGGAATGTTCGAGTCTTCAAAGATAAGTGAAGATTTATTTTGAGAAGTCTAAACTTGCTAGTTCAATTGGATCTCGTCAGGGTTTAAAAAAATTCTCAAGAACGAGGTTTCACGAAAAAGGGGTTCCTAATGCGATTGTAACTTGATCTTTTGGCTTTGATTTGTCGGGTTGCTGGTCGTTTTTTGTTGCCTTTCGGTTGTTATCTCGGTTTCCATGGTCTTGTTCCTTATGGGATCCTCCTCAATGTTCTTGTTTTGTATTTGTTCTTTTTTTTGGATAATGCTTTGATTTTTCTATTAAAAAAATGTAATTTTTCTTTAAAAGTCACATTTTTTTTCCCACATTTTGGATTGGGGCATATGCACTTGAAACCTTTTTTTAAGAAGCAAAGGAAATGAGAGAGAGGAAAAGGTTAAAAAAACTCAAGTGTTTTCAAAGAGGTTTTTACAATAAAAATAAAATGAAACATAAAAGAACATAATTATAAATTTATTTTCAGTACTTTTTTTCACACGTACGATAAAGGAAAAGAAAGATAGTAAAATCATTTAAAAACATTATTAAAACTACCAAATCTTTGGTTATAAAATGATATATATTTTTAGTAAATATATTAATTACAGCTGTTATCTAAACTTTAACTGTACCGAGTCTAATCTAATTGCACAAACTAAAGTTTGGTTGCAAATACTCCAAGTCTGACTACAAAGACTCCAAGTCTGATTGCAAAGTCAAAAATCCGCTCTAAGTCAAGAGTTTCAGACTTAATCAGTTTCAGTTGTAATTTCAGAACTTTGATTCGAAGGACCGGAGATTTTATTACACTACCTCAGATCTACACTGTGAAATTTTAAAAAAACAATTTCAAGGACGTTTCCAACATCTCGAAACCAGGTCATCTCAAAACTAGAATCCACTAAGGGACCGTTTACTAATTGTTTACTCAGGTAAGTAAACACCAAGTCACATTATCTTATCGGATCAATATGGTAAGGACCAAAAAATTTAACCGGTAAGAACGAGAAAATGATCAAGAGTCTTACCCGGCAAGTGAGGACGATAACTCTTACCATGGTAAGCACTTACCGGGTAAATTGTTGCACACGATATGTTTTGGTGGACTAAAATCTTACCTGGTAAATAAATGATAGTATTAGATTTTACTCGTAAGCGTTTATCGGATAAGTATTTGGTAAACGTCCCCCAAGTCTAATTATTCTCAAAATACATAAACCTTAGGCTATTGTCCCAAACCTCGGCTAAATGTTCTTTTATCAGATTTTAGTTTTTAATGCTCTTTCTGTTTTAAATAATAAAGAATAATATAAAAAAATATTAGGTTTATCCGATGTATAAAATATTTAAACTCTTAATAAATATTTTATAAAACTTTAGTTTGTGGTATCAAACAAAAAAAAAACACCATATCTAAAAGTTTTATAATAGGTTTATAAGGCTTTTTTGATGTATCAACATGTTTATAAAACGTTTTTAAAATAAAGTGTCGTGTTACTTATATTGCACGTCACTTATTTAAATTGCCCCTATCAAAACAAATGTCTTAAAAAAATAAGTTTATGGTACACAACTCAAAGATGTCATATAAATAGTTAAATACGACATTTTAATTTAAAAGTGTTCTAAACATCATTTAGTACAAATTTTAGAAAATACGTTAATTTTTTAGTAATTTTTTGATGGAAATGAGTTGGCTTATTTTCATTTTTTTTCCAATCATAACTCAAATTAATATTAATTGTTATTAATTATTATTA